CCCCCCCCCCCCCCCCCCGCTTTTGCCCGACAGCTTTCCGGGCTGAGTAGTTTGCAGTAGTGGTCACATGGCCCACAAAGCCGCAGATATTTACTGGGTGGCCTTTCCGGGAAAGGTCCCTGCCCCTGCTCCAGGTGACCCCTAGGGCCCCGTGAATTTGCTTTGGTGGGCCTTCTTCATAGTTTAAGGCTTTATAAAAAGTGAAAACTGTACACAATTTAAACATTTGTTCCTTTGGAATTAATATTGAGCTACAAAAAATGCTGTGTCTGTAATTATAACAGAGCACACTGTTCTCAGAGTACTGTTGTCAGTTCTTGTAAATACAGAATGTAGTGATGTTGCCTGCATTGATTTGCATAAATTTATTGACTGTGATTTATGTTCTTGACATTGTGAAGTATTTCTTTAAAAAACCACAAATTGGAGTTTGATCCCTGGTACCAAAAAAAAACCACCTCAACTTGGCTCAGTGGCACCACACCTGCCTCACAAGCACAAGGCCCTAATTTCAATCCCCAGTACCAAAAAAACAAAAACCCCCACAAATCTGGCCAGACGTGGTGTCACAAACCTGTGATCCCAGCACTCAGGAGGCTGAGGCAGGAGGATTGCTATAAGTTCCAGGCCAGAGTGGGCCACATAGTGAGGGCAAGGCCAGCCTGCACTGCATAGTGAGACCCTGTCTCAAAAAACCAAAGAAAAGGAGAAGCTAACTCAGACTCATCAGCCATGGTGGTGCATACCTGTAATCCTCACACTGTGAGAGGCTGAGGCGGGAAGATTCCAAGTTCCAGCCCAGCCTAGGCAACTGTCAACTTAGTGAGACCCACCCCCCATCTCAAAAGGGCTTGGGGAGCCGGAAGTGGTGGCACACGCCTGTGATCCCAGCACTTGGGAGGCAGAAACAGGAGGATTGCCATGAGTTCGAGGCCAGCTTGGGCTACAAAGTGAGTTCAGGGCCAGCCTGAACACAAAGTGAGACCTTGTCTCAAAAAAAAAAAGGCTTGGGGATACAGCTCAGTTAGGAGGTACTGTGTTCAGTCTCCAGTACAAAAAAGACTCAATGACAGAATTGAAGGGCAGATACAAAAAATGTTAGAATAATTTAAATTTTTAAAAATTCATATTCAGATTTATATGCAATGAAATGTACTGGTTTGGTTTTTTTTTTTTTTGGTACCACTTTTTGAGTTTTGAGAAATGCAGAGTTGTGCAGCTACCCCTGGAATCAATGTACTTCACCCTCCAAAATTCCTTCCTGGTACCTCTTTGTATTAACTAAGATGAAGTACTTTTAGGCTGGTGGTACCCCAGTATTTTTTTCTGTAAAGAATTAAGCAAAGTAAAAATACTTGTGATCTTTTAGTAAGATTTAGTATTGGTATTTTAAAAGTCAGAAAATCAAACATAATACATGGATTAAATTCAAAATCCTGATTCTTTGGCTTCCTTCACACGATGGAGGTAAGAGGCAGACTGTGGGCTCCTGTCTCTCACTTTGCAGACATTAATACTGTATGCATCTCAGCAACACTCCAGGTTAGGCTTTTTAAAAACGGGCACACAGTCCACTTCTGTAACTCAGCATTCATTTCCTGCTTACTCTACTCTGTCACTATAAAACTCTCGCTCCAGGGTTAAATGTTTTAATCGTTGTTCACCAGCTCAGTACCTAGAGGACTCTTTCCTGGCTTTAATAATTTAATCGAGGTGACCCCAGCAGTTAGTCCTTTATCTTGATCAGGTCCCACCTGGTGACTTCCTTATTCTCCCCAGCCTCTTCTCCGGTTTCAGCCAGTTGCTGCCAGGCTGGAACCTAGAACCTGTACATTTTACATCTGTACATCAGCTCTTGAGATTTTTTTTTCCCTCAATCCACTTATGTATTTTTGCTTCATTATCTCTACTAACTTCTTCTCCTTATCACTTAACATATTTAGGTCTCTGCTATATAAAATAAAATAACACCGGACTTCTGTGGCCCTGTAACCTCTCTGCGTCCGTCCCCTGTTGCTGCAGTCCGGGGTGGTTTCCGTCCTGTGGTGGGCACTGGTTCATGTGCTTGTGATTCTTGGGAAGGCAGAGCGCCCAGCCTCACCTAAAGTGCCCAGTGACCCAGCGGGGCTGCAGGTCCCCTTGGGCTCACGCTGCTGCGGTGTGGCGGCCTCCTCAGTCCTCACCTTACCCGAAACAGCCTCTTGCTTGCCATGTCGTGGTCGTCTCTTGGGACTTCTCAAAAGCAGTTGTCTTCCAAACTGCCCTTGTTGGCTTCCTTTGTCGCCTCTGCAGATGGCACTTCCTCCGCCGAGTACCCCTGCCAGGCCTGCTTCTTCGCTTGGGAAATTGTATTTGCTCTGTTTCTTGATTTTTATGCTTAATTTTAGTTCTTACCTCTATTGTGGCTCTTTTTCTAGAGTCCCAGACTATTATTTCCAAACTTCTCACTAACCCCCCTTCCCAGATGGTTTTTGTAAGGCTCTGCTTCTGAAGCCCACGAGCTGGCCCCAGGCTTGTTTGTGCTCTCCTTGGCTTGTGTTTGTGTTTGTATTCACCCTTCTCTCCTTTGCCTCTGTGATAGGTCCTGAGGGTATGCTGCCTGGTCCCCTAGCACAGCTTAAGGTGTCCCCTGAGATTACGCCGCTCTTCAGACTTTCTGTAACTCTGTGACGCGTCATGCACCTCATTCAGTGTGGTGGCTCAGTGAAGGGGGTTGTGAAGTGGTTCTTACAGTTTGGCTTCATCTCTGTGACTCTTCACCTTTCAAGATTAAAAATCATCCACAGGGGAATTGTTAAGAAAGCAGTATAGCCTTGGAGAAATGTATACAGCTCCACAAATCAGTGTGGCTTTTCTCCGGGGTTGGCCAGTGCTCTGAATCCAGCATGGACCTAGCTCGAGAAACAATACTAAAATCCAAATGGGATTCTACGGTTTAAAAACCTGCCAGGCAGGGTTTTTTTCCCTTGATTTTAGTAGGTAAAGTTTCCAAACATATTAGACCTTTTTTTAGACTGGCCTTGAACTCACTATGTAGCCCAGGCTGGCCCCAGACTCATGGTGATCCTCCTGCCTCAGCCTCCTGAGTGCAGGGATTATAGGCATGCGCCACCACTCCCAGCATATGCTTAAGTCTTGACTAGAGATGACACCGCTTCAAATTATATTTTTCTCATAGTTACAATGATTTACTTTTTACTGATGCATTTCAAAATGAAAATTTTGGATAATCCTCTTATATCTTAAGTTACAATCTCTTAAGCAATCTTCATTGACAGTATGTAAATTTAATGTAAACTTTAGAAACTGTTATAGGATGTGTTCTCACTAGTACATAGTTCAGTTTTTTCTTGTTTATACAGTGTTATTCACACTTTATTGTGTTTAGTTAATGGTTTCTCTACATTGTTTTGATTTCTTTGTCTCCTTACTCTCTCATTTTAAAATAAATGAGTTTAGCTCTTGCTTTCTGAAAACTATCTAATTGAGATTCTCATTCATTTTTCTCTTGGGCTGCTTCCCCAGGGGAATATTCTGGTGTGTATGCTTTTAAGTACATTCGTGTTACTGCCTTACGCTAGGTGTTCTTGGCTGCTATTCTCATTTTATGCTTTCTCGTCATTTTTTTCTGCTACATGATTTTTTGCCCTGCATACATTTTTCAGCTTTTATGCTTACCTAAATGCTTGAGAGTTTATAGTAATCCCGCCTATTATGTGAACTTTTTTCAACCAGGCTGAACTTTCTTCCATCTCTATAGCTTCATTGCAGCATTGACAGTAGTGTTTAAAGCAAATGTCTTGGCAAAAATCATTTTAGAGTTGGAATTTGGAAACTTGTTTAGTTTTTTCCTCCCAATTTGTAGTGAATACATAGATAGTTAAATAAGCTACTACTTCTGATATTTGAGACATTTGTTATATATACAAAATATCAATCCATATGTTAGCATTGAATTTTTAGCATTCCTAGCTTGGTTGTCTTTGTCTTAGTAATTTAAAAATCATTTAGAATATTACCTTTTTAAAATAAAGGATGTTAACTCCTTTGCCTTAAGTAGTTTTCTTTAGAAATATTTTCCTGAATTACAAGTATTACTTTTTCCCTTTCTATGTCATTTTCCAACATTAGTTCATAATTTCTTGGGATGAGTGAGGGCCGTTTTGTTTTTGTTTTTGCTTTTTAAAAAAATATTCTCTAGGGCTGGAGATTTAGCTCAGTGGTTTCGCCGCCTGCTGCGCAAGCACAAGGACCCGAGTTCAATCCCCAGTACAAAAAATAAAAAATCTCTAATATGTTACTTCATTTTTTATGAGAAGCAAATTAAACAACTTTATTCTCCCAAAAGATGACTATCTCGGATCTTGCATTGAGTGGTCTATATGCCTTAGAGCATGCATTAAAATACTAAACACAGCTGGCATGGTGGTATACATCTGTAATCCCAGCACTCTGGGAGGATGAGGCAGGAGAATCCCAAATTCATTCCTAGCCCAGGCAGTTTAGTGACTTAGCAACACCCTGTCTCAAAATAAAAAATAACAAGGGCTGGGGATATAACTCAGTGCCAAGGCTTTGGGTTCAATCTCCAGTACAGTACTGCCTAATAATAACAATAATAATGTCTATGAAGTGACAACTGAATGTTATCATTTCATAGGTAGTACTTGTAGGAAACTTTGTATTACTGATTTGGGGTTTTCAATCTGATTATATTCAATTGTCTTACGAGAATGAATTGATAAAGTATTTTTTAGCCATATCTGAGAATATCCTCATGAATGAAGGAAATCATCTTTATTTCTGTCTTTTGTACATCATTATGCATTAAGTCATAACATTGTGATTCCAGATGTTTTTCATATCATGCGTAGAACTTTATAGATTAATGATCTATTTTCATGCTGTTTCTTACATAAAACATTTCTTGTTCTTTGTTTCTGCTTTACATGGAATGCATGGGCTTTAAGACCATAATTTCTTTGGTAAGGTTTCATCTGCCTTGGGGTTCTGTCTTTCTTTAGCTTTGTCTCTGCCTGTTCTTTATGAATGAGATCTAATATTTGAGCAGAAGCTACAGTGTCAGATGTAATTTGGAAACAATTTCTGATCCTTACTAATGCAATGTTTTCCTCCCTAGATAATGGTACTTGTTAGGATATTTGACAGAAAAGTTTTCATCCTTTTGAAGTTTTATGTGTGGAAACAAATAAAGACTGACAGGTGTAATGAATTGGTTTTTAAAAAAGAGAGCTAGGTGTGGTAATGCACACTTGCAGACTCAGCTAGTTGGGAGGCTGAGGCAGGAGGATTGCAAGTTCAAGTCTAACTTGGTCAACTTAGCAAGACCCTGTCTCAAAATAAAAAGGGGGCCAGGATGTAGTGAGTGTGCACCCCACCCTGCCTGGGAAGCCCAAGGTCCTGAGTTCAATCACCAGTACCGGGAAAAATAATTAATTAATTAATTAATTAAAAAAAATAAAAAAGAGCTGAGGACATAGCTCAGTGAGAGGCCCTGGGATTATCACCACTACTGAGAAGAAGAAAAAAGTTGGCCAATAAAATCTTTAGTTTTGTTTTATGATGAATAATTATAATTTTATATTCTATACAAGTAGATATGTCAAATGAAGTTATAGCTCAGTGCCTGCCTGGGAAGCCCAAGGTCCTGAGTTCAATCACCAGTACCGGGAAAAATAATTAATTAATTAATTAATTAAAAAAAATAAAAAAGAGCTGAG